ATCCCCCTGGTTTCACCCCCTAACATTAGATAGGAGAGAAACAAGGACATAGGGGAGAAAGGATTTAGGAAAAACCCTGAATCTAATTTCTTTCCTTTTGTTTCTTCTTTGACCATGGCTACTAACAAACTGCAACCAACCTCCCTAAAGGACCAACAAGGACCAACCCTGCTTCTCAGGGCCCTAGCACTGACATACCCTCTGAAAAGTTCCTAGAACTCCTAATGCTACATAATCCTAGAAATTATCTGCAGTCGTCAAACCCACACTTCTGCTAAAGCACGAGGCAAATCATGGTAAGTTGCTGCAGACAATCCAAAGCAGCCCCTGGACTGTTTTAATCCCTCCTGCTCCTGGGATTAAAACAAAAACACATTCTTTTTTTGTTTTTTGTTTTGAGCCAGCAACACAAATGAATATACTTTCTTTATTGAGGAGTGACAAACAAAAACAAAAAGCAAACAAGTAAAAACCCAGGATGCTAGAAATACAAACTCAATTCAGACTCAAGCTCCTCTAGACCCTGGTCATAATCCCCAGTGAGGCACTATGAGCACGGAGTCAGGGAATGGGACAGGAGTGAATCGGAGGCCAAGAGAAAGGGGTAGGGAAGGGGATCTCCTAGGTCTCCCAGTATTCACCGCACTTGTGCCAGCTTCCAGCCTTATTCTTTTCCTCCACATTCTTCTCCGTGATTAGTAGCACGTTAGGTACTGTAGAAAGCCACAGTGAGGATGGCGACCAGAAGAGGTGGAGTGGTGATGGGATGAAGATGAGGGAAGAGCTGTCCTAGGACCCCTCTCTTCATGGGATCCTAAACTGTACAACCAGCCCTTCATTTGCGTCCACGCGGATCTGAGAAAGTTCACTATAGGCATAAGCAGCTATCCTGGAGACCTGCTGCAAATCAGAGAAGGGGACAGGCTCTCTGGGCAGCACTTGGTGGGGCTGGCTGGTGAGAGACTGCTGTGGTGGCAGCTTCTTCCAATGGGTCAGACTGCTGATAAGCACAGCCAAGCAGGTACTGTATGCCTTGTCTGGTCCATGGACTAATTCTGCTCCATGCCCTGGAGGTCTGTGGCACACACATCAATGATGTCCCTAGCTGACTTGGCAAGGCTGGAGGAAAGCAGGGCCTGCTCATCTGTAGGAGCTGAAAGTAGGCTATGGTAGTTGGGTTCAGCTCCATTGAGGGCTTTGGTAGGGGTACTACTGGGGTTCAGCAACAGCTTCCTCTCCTTCCAATCCTGGTCCAAGACGCCATTTTTGCTGCTATAGCAGCACCCCATGGCGGGGTTGGGCCAGGCATTCAGGCAGCACTGAGGAAACATTTCAGTCACACGACCCAAGGCTGCCTCCGCTTTAGCACATTCTTATAATATTTCTGTGTTTAAAAAAAATCCAGAATTCTCACTACATTTCTAAGGTGGAAATATTTTGTATCTCAATGGCCAATAAATATCCAGATGGATTTCACATTTGAAGTGTGGCCAATGGGGGTCAGAATGCTGGAGGCTTGACACTGTCCCTTGTCTAGATTTTTAAAAGAGCTGTTGACCAGAGATTGGGAACCATGCAGGCCAGGAAGCTGGATTGTTACATTGCCCTTCGTAGTCCAGCAAGGACAAGGCTATCCATAACTACATGTAGAAGCTGGTCCTCGCAGGCCTGGTGCTCTTTTTGCGAGAATTAAATACGAGGCCCTTGTTGTTCACAACAAGATTAAGTCACTAGGGCTGGTGAGATGACTCAGCAGTTAAGAGCACTGACTGCTCTTCCGGAGGTCCTGAATTCAAACCCCAGCAACCACACAGTGGCTCACAACTATCTGTAATGAGATCTGATACCCTCTTATGGGGTGTCTGAAGACAGCTACAGTGTACTAATAAACAAACAAACAAACAACTAACTAACCTTTGGGCCGAAGCAAGTGGGGCCAGAGCGAGAGGGAGAAGGGAAGGGGAAGAAATAAGTCACTAAAACTCATTTTAGAGTTGTTTTTTACATTTTCAAATTTGTTTTGTAGGGACAGGCAGTTGTGGTGATCAGCAGACAGCTCTGAGGAGTTCTACTATGTCTGTCCCAGGAATGAAATGTATGTGTGATTTGAATATGCTGAAGGTTGTGAACTATCCACACAACTATAAGAGCAGTGTGGTGGTTTGAATGAAAAAGGTCCCCATTGGCTCATAGGGAGTGGCATTATTAGGAGACATGGCCTTAATGGGGTGGGTGTGGCCTTGTTGGAGAAAATGTGTCACCAGAGGTGGACTTTGAGGTTTCAGAAGCTCAACCTAGGCTCAGTGGCTCCATCTTCCTTCCTGCTGCCTGAGGATGCAGAGGTAGAACTCTCACCCCTCTCCAGCACCATGTCTGCCTGCCATGGTGTCTACTCCACCATGCTTCCTGCCAGGACCATAATGAACTAAAACTCTGAACTGGAAGCAAGCTACAGTTAAATGCTTTCTAAGAGTTGCCATGCTCATAATGTCTCTGCATAGCAACAGGAACCCTAACTAAGACAAACTAACAAAATCTGACCTCATTCAAAGAGTTCCAGTATCTTTGTCACACAACTCATTGTTTGGTGGCAGCACTAACCTCTGTGATCTCCACTGAATCGCTTAGGCTTCTCTCTTTAATATATATATATATATATATATATATATATATATATTATATTATATAAATTTTATATACATATATAAAATTTATTTGTTTTTCAAATTGTAATTTATACTCATTCACACAGGGGTTATAAACACAGAAAGGCAGGATGTGGGGAAGGGGATGACAGTGGAGTGTGGGTGTTTAGGGGGAATACAGATATCTTTCAGAACAGGGTATCGGCAGGGTAAGGGTTCAGGGGACAGGTCGCTATGGCTCTGCCTATGATTTGCTTGTCCTTATCTAGGTTAGTATTATCTGCCAAGGCTACCTATTTACAAGGTCTATGACTACTCAGGCTGGTAAATTGTCACAAAAACTGCCTGTTTGCAATTGCTTATAGCCATCTGTTTCAGTATTTCTTGGGTCTCCACAGAGACCCAAGACATGGTGTTAGTATACATGTATGACAGGCCTATTGCTGATTTTAGGCCTATGGCTGATTTTAGGCCTTCAGTGTATAAGCAGGGATGCCCCTGACATCTCCTCCCTTCTCTAAGTATAGACGGGCTGTGGTGAATCTAATTTGCGAAGGTGGGGATAGAGGCCTGACCTCCAGTAATTGAAGGGGACCTTGTAGTGGCTCCGGTCCCCCTGTCGTTGTCCAGTGAGCCATGAGGGCCATACCCGTCCCGATGTCTTTTTCCTGGAGAGGGGATACTTTTGACATCAACCCCTATGCAGTCAGGCTTGTCCCTCAGGGAACCCAGAGAGATATTTTTAACTTTTATTGGTATTCCCTTGCAGTGCTTAGCCTCGCAGTCTAAGCAAGAATTCAGATCACCTGCAGAGGGGATTCTGGGTGGCCCCTCTCAGCTTGGTCTAGGGGTGGAAGTCCCCTCTTTTAGGTTGAGTGGAGATGGGTTTTGGGAACACCCTGTATAAAATAACAACCTCATCTTGAGTCTCGTGGTCCTCCATAGCTAACTTATGATAATGTATCTGAATAAGTTTTGCTACCAAATTATTTATCTGTTGTTTCACAGAGTTAGTCAGCCTATTTGAGGCCCAGGGACCAGAAGAAATAAGCAAAAAGAAGCCAAATAATGGTCCCAAGATGAGAGGAGGTAGGGTTGACAACCCTGGAGAGGCTGAAAACCAATTCTTGTACCAGCTCTCATCTTTCTCTTTCTCTCTCTGACTTTTTTCAGGGCCTTCTCTGACCGTTTTCATGCTCTCTTTAACCATCCCTGTCTTGTCTATGTAAAGGCAACCTTCTTCTATAAGGGCTGTACATAGTCAAGAGCTGTACACAGCCTTTTCTATTATAATAGAGTAAATCAAGTCCAATAAGGATCTTTGTGATTTTTTGCAGGTCTCTTCAGACAGTGAAATGAGGGATTTCTTCAGATTAGTGATGTCAATCTCTAGCTGTTTGATGTTCTTGTCAATGGCCCTTCGAAGGTCTGAGTAGTATAAGTTCGAAGGCCAGCATCTGGATTAGAACTTGTAACAGCAGACATCACGGGTGATTCATTTTTACCTGGAAAGGCTTCTCTTTAAAACTCTGCTATAGAGGATATTAGAACAGTAAGTATGTCATTGATGCAGTTTTCAAATTTTTTCATGTTTTACATTTATGGGGGGAGGGGTGATAAATGCCAATGCTTTGGGGGAGTTAGTTCTCCTTCCATCAAGCAGATTACAGAGATCAGACTCAGATCTCTGGCTTGGCAAGAAGTGCCAAGTACCTGCTGAGCCATCTCACCAGCCCCAGTTGTTATATTTTTACATATGCTCAAGCCACGTACTCACCACCTACATCGAGTTGTAAGACAGTTCTACCATCTAGATGTGCAGAAGTAACTGATTTCTTTTTAAGTACATTAGTTTTTACTTTTTGTTGAAACAATCGACTAGAAGCATACATTTCTTTGACTCTGTTAGCCAGCGGAGGTCAGAGGTGTCAGGTTACCCCGGTGCTGGAGCTATAAACGGTTGTAACTTGGTGCCTATCCCCAGAAAGGTGCAGTCTTTTGCTGCATCCTGTTCCTACCGGCTCAGCTAGTGTCACCTGGCTAGAGACACCCACGCCCCTGTGACATTTTGCGCAACACCCCAAGTTTATGGAGCACTGGAGACATAGGAGTGGGTCACACAAAGACCCTCTCTCCTCCAGTACTTGGCTAGAAGAGCTGCTTTGATTGAGGAGCATGAGCCCGACTCTAAGAACGCCAGTTTTCTGGGCTTCTAGACTTCCCCTGGAAAGTGTTCTAGACCAAGCAGGAAGAAACAATCTCCTTTATGCACCTGCAGGAAATCTGAAGAGCCCCCATGCAAGGCCTGAGTGGCACTAGCCGCTAGACCAGCCGCTCCGGAACCTCGGGACTCACCCATTGGCCGGCAACCCGCCTGGCTCAGCTCTGCTCAGGCCTTCTCAGCCCCGCCAACAGCCGAGCTTCCGACCCATCACGGCCAGGCCCCTCCAGGCCAATGGTCGCGCTTCCGGCCCCGCACCTCCCTCCACGCCTGACCAATGGCCGCGTGGCTCGCCTCGCCCCGCCCCCTTCATCTGGGAGGCCTCTGCACAGTCGAATGCGGTCAACCTGTTGCTTAGTCTGGTTTCTTCTTGGTAAGTTCGCAGCCTGGGCGTGGGTCCTCGGGGCTGTGTTCACTGAGACCTTTCAGGGAGGGGATCTTGGCCAGAGCCGGTTGCGCTTGGGAGTCCACAGGAGCGCCGCGGACCTGGGCGCGCGGATCGGAGAGGCTCCTGAACGGGATTAGGGGGAATGCAGTCTGCCCTACACCGATTCGTGACCGGGGCAGTTCCTGGAGCCTCATCCAGCACGCTTAGCTAGCAGGTAGGTGGTGCAGAGCGTTTGCCCAGGCTGGACAGAAAGAATCTCTGAGTGGTCCCTGCCTCTCCCAGGCCCTGGTGACTCGAGCGAGCCTGGCCGCGAGCAACGACCTATGGCAGCCGTGTCAGGGAGTAGGCCTGCCAGTCTGGGATACGACCTGATCCTGGATCTGGACAGTTGTAGGCAGTGACATCTGTTCAAAACAGCCTCCCTGCACTTGGAGACCTGGGTCCTGTCAGGAATCTAGTCTGAGTCCAGGAGACCTGTCCCTCGAGAGTGTGGATATTTATTTCCGTGACCCAGTCAGAAGCTCTGTGGAAGTCAGGTCGGAAGCTTTGCTGTGTCCAGGACACTCCTGCCATCTCCCTTTCTCTGATATAAGAAAGAAGTTTGAGGAAAAGGATGAAAACAAAAGAAAGCAAAATACCCAATGTTCTTTGGATACTGTGAAGCTTCAGAAACTTGAAGGGCATTCAGCCTCGATCTCAGGACTCAGGTGAATGTCAGTGAGGGCAGCATTAATGCCAGCTGTGTCCAAGAGACTTGTATGTCTTCAAAGAGCTTAAATGCCGCTGCTTCTCACCTGTAGTCCTACCCCCAGGCAGTGACCTTGGGGTAAAGATGGGCTTTGTGGCTGTCCTGCTGCAGGGACCTCTATGCTGTTAGTCCATGGCAACAAGTCTGGGGTACAGATTCCACATTGCAGGTCAGCCATGTAGCTTGGAGTCACTTCCTCTCTTGTGATTGTGCCGAAGGACTTAATTAAGAACCTCAGGCTGCTTCTGTTAACAGAGAACCTTCAAGAAATGAATAAATGTGAGCTTCCTCTGCTTTTGGTGGGGCTACATGCCACTCCCCGCCCACAGTCTACATTCAGCATTGGGGTTGGACTGCAGAAAACTGCTAATTTGACTCCCTCATCATATCTTTCTAGGTGACCTGGGAAAGGAAGAGGAAGGGTTTCAGCAGGCTGGCCTCTACAGAGGTTTCATTTTTCATCCCCTGAAGGCCCAACAGACCCCAATCTTATCTCCTTGATCTCCTGACCTTCCATCCATAGCTCTTCATAAGAATGTAGCATTTGGTAGTTAGCAATGTCAGTACTAACGTGGGCTGAGGTCACTAGGCAGAACTGGCATCTAGTCTCCCACGTGGCAGGGGCCTGTGCCTGCTGCAACCGTGGGTACTCTGTGCACTGTCTCCCAGAGGCCTCATATTCCATAACGGGCACTTGGTTCCCTCTTCTACCCTTCCCTTCTCTCCTGAACAATACTCTTGGAACCCAACAACTTGTTAAACTTGTTAAGATGGAGCTCTGAAGGGCCGTCTTTCCAATGCTTCTCACTGCCTTCCCTGGTGTAGTAAGTGGCACCTTCCTTGCCCCACCTTCCAAAAGGCAATGTTTGGTCCCCAGCCCTCCTTTCATGTCCACAGAGCACCAGGAATATAGCTGTTCATCCCACCTTAGACCCTCCAGAGGGTTCTGTAGTGCAAATCAGAGCCCTGGCTCTCCAGTGATTCCCTGCTTCACACCAAGTAAAACCCAAAGTCCTTCCCACAGCACCTTACATGCTGGTGGCCTCTTTGACCTTGACCTCTGTCCCTCCCCTCAGCTTTCAACCACTTCACTCATCTAGTTTCTCTTCACTCCAAATTCTGTCACATCTTAGAATTTTGGCAACCACTTTGCCTTCTGCCCAAGACTCTAGTCTTTTCACAGTGGAAAATCATTCAGTCAGATGTTAACTAATGGCGGGGGGCGGGGCTTTTGATCACCTTCGTTTAAGCAGGGAATTTCCTCCTGGAGTTCTGTCTCATTGTCTCATTTTACTCTCTTCATAATCAGAATTACTTCCTGGATTTGTCATCTGGGTATGTGCTAATGGATCTGGTACCTGTTCCACTCCAATGGAACATAAATTGGATGTGGCATATCTTGTCTTTCTCCTCCCCCAGGTGGAGGACAACTAAGACAAGTAAACAAAACACGTGATTGCAGGTGGCAGTGCTTCGTAAGTGATGCTTGCGTTTAAGGCACTTTCAGTGTTTAAATGGTGGAATGGCTTAGTAGGTACAAGTGCATGCTGTGCAAGCCTGGCGACCTGAGTTCATTCCCTGGAACCCACGGTGGAAGGAGAGGACCAAATCACAAAAGTTGTCCTCCGATTTTCATGTGTGTGCTGTGACATGTGTGCACACATTCATACACCCATCATATACATACAATAATAAATAAATGAGTGAACATGTAAAAGTGGCGTATTTTTAAAAATTTAGACTTAGAGGGCCTGGAAAGAAGGCTTAGTGAGCTTAGGAGCACTGCCTGCCTTCCCAGAGAACCCAAGTTTGAGTTCCAGTACCCACGAGGCAGCTCACAACCATCTGTTGGTGCCCTCTGCTAGCCTCTGTAGGAACATGGTGCAGGCAAAACACTCTGAGCACATAAAATATAAATAATAAACCTTGGGGCTGGAGAGATGGGTGAATGGGAAGAGTACTGACTGCTTTTCCACAGGACCTGGGTTTGATTCCCAGAGGCTCACAACTGTCTGTAACTCCAGTTCCTGAGCATCCAATGCCACCTTCTGGCTTCCATGGACACCAAGCTCACAAGTGGTGTGTAAACATGCAGGCAGGCAAAACACCCATACACATAAATAATTTAAAAAAAATCTTTTTAAAAATATTTAAACTTATATATCTGAAGTACTATGTTTTACAAGCTCTCTAAATCATTAAAAATTTTAAATTATGTGCATATCTGTGTGAGCATATACCAAGTGTGTGCAGCCTACACGAGGTGTCAGATCCCCTGGAGCTGGAATTACAGGCAACTTATATGGGTACTGGAAACTAAACTTGGGTGCCCTGGAAAAGCAGCAAGTAAGTGCACTTTCCCACTAAACCATCTAAACAAGTGGTTCTCGTGACCCCTCTAGGGATCAAACAGTCCTTTCACAGGGGCGAAAAGGACTTAGGGATGGCCTAAGACCATCAGAAAACACAGATATTTACATTCTGACTCATAACAGTAGCAAATTTGCAGTTATGAAGTAGCAACAAAATAATGTTATGATTGGGGGTCACCACAGCATGAGGAACTGTAATAAAAGGTCTCAGCAACAGGAAATCTGAGAACCACTGCTCTATGCCACCTCTCCACTAGTGTTCTTTTCCATTAAACCAGCCTTCCAGCCCCTCTCTGAACCATTGTATGGAAAAGGCTAGTAATTCACCCTATGGCATAAAGCGGCTTCATTGTGGTGGAACTTGGTTTTCTTCCATGAGAACATGTATGTACATATGGCAAACTTTGGTGGTGGGCCTACATCATCATCCAGAAACAACCTGATCTGAGAGACCTTAGTTCTTTACTCTTCTAGTAACTGGCAAGCCTCCTAATGGCAAGCGTATTCTCCATATTTACAGTGGGATTGTTCTACTATTATCTATTTTATGTATATGAGTACACTGTAACTGTCTTCAGATATACCAGAAGAGGGCATCAGATCCCTTTACAGATGGTTGTGGTTGCTGGGTATTGAACTCAGGACCTCTGGAAGAGCAGTCAATACACTGTTGAGCCATCTCTCCATTATATGGGCAGCTGGGCAGCTCTTGTTTTCAGTATATCCAAAAGAAGCAACATTTGTAGGTGACTCTTGTACTATCCTGTCTTAAAGGTAGGAGAGGATCCAGTACCTTTCACAACCTTAGCAGCTAAGGACACATGTAATAATACCTCTTGTGTTAGAGGCAACTACACACCCATTGTAACGATGATTAAGCCCAACAGGCAGAAGTGGGTTCTAGATTGCTAGCTCTCTGCTCATCAGTTCACTTTTAAGGAAAACTTGAGAGCCTCTAGATACAGTCAGTAATAATACAGGTTGTTTAAAGAAGTGAAAGATTAGATCAGCTCAGCAGTTGGAGTGTGCAGCTGTTCCAGAGGACCAGAGTTCTGACACTAGTACCCACATCTGGTAGCTTACAACTGCCTGTCACTCCAGCTCCAGGGATGCCAATGCCCTCTTCTGGCCTCCCAGGCACCTCCACTCATGGACATATCCACACTCATAAACATAATTTCTAAAATAAGAGAAGTCTTTAAAAAAAGGTAAAAGTTAAAGAAAAAAAGCAGATTCTAGACGCTGAGAAAAAATTGTCTTCCTTTTCTTCAACTGCACCGCCAACTTGTTCTCCTGTCCATCTTTCTTCCAGTCCATCTCTCTCAGTCCATTCCACCCTCCCAGGGTTGGAGTTACTCCAGAAGCTGAGCAGCCATGACATTTGCTGAGGAAAAGACCTATAAGTATATCCGAGACAACCACAGCAAGTTTTGCTGTGTCGATGTTCTGGAGATCCTGCCTTACCTGTCCTGCCTCACAGCCAGTGACCAGGTGAGCGAGGGAAGCCACAGCTGGCCAGTGCACTGGGCACAGAGTTGTACAGTCCAAGTTTCAGCCTGGCCTAGCCCTTCTCCCAAGTCGGGCCAGCTCCTCCTTCCTCTCCTTTGAGGCTGCTGTTTGTCCTGCTTTTCCGAATTTTAGGTCAAGTGTATTTAAGTTTGTTTTTCTGACCTTGCTGATTCCTTTCCTTTTTATGTTGCACACAGGAACATGGCAGGAGATCAGCAGGTTTCC